CACTTATATCTTTTCGAGCACGGTGGTGGTTATATTTTAAAGAAATAGTTGAACTCACATGCTTCACTTAAATATTTTTGAGAGTTAATAAATAGTAATGGCAATTTGCGCGGGTTATAAGACTAGTCCATAAAGGATAGGTATTCAAGAGGGATATAATAAATACTTTTATGTAGATCACTGAATATGGTATGTTTGATTCTTGCAATATTTTTGAGAGATTAAGATGGTGATATGTGGGAGGTACTAGTGAATGATTGTGGTTTAGTAAGAATACTTGTGTTAAGGTTTGTGATTGCCGAAGCATGCACGTATAGTCTCTAGTTATGCTATGAAGTTGGAGTATGATTTATTATTGATTGCCTTCCTTATGAGTGGTGGTCGGTGATGAGCGATGGTCTTTTCCTAGCAATCTATCCCCCTAGGAGCATGCGTGGTAGTACTTTTCTTCGAGGGCTAATAAACTTTCACAATAAGTATGTGAGTTCTTTATGACTAATGTGAGTCCATGGGTTATACGCACTCTCACCTTTTCGCAATTTGCTAGCCTCTTTGGTGCCGTGCATTGCCCTTTCTCACCTCGAGAGTTGGTGCAAACTTTGCCGGTGCATCCAAACCCGTGATATGATACACTCTATCACACATAAGACTCCTTATATCTTCCTCAAAACAGCCACCATACCTACCTATTATGGCATTTCCATTCCGAGATATATTACCATGCAACTTCCACTGTTCTGGCTTTATGGCATACATCTTCATTGTCATATTGATTTGCATGATCATATGGCTGACATAGTATTTGTGGCTCAGCCACTGTTCATCATTGTCATGCATGTTACGCTAGCATCATTGCACGTCCTGGTACACTATCAGAGGCATTCATATAGAGTCATATGTGTTCTAGTATTGAGTTGTAAGTAAGTAAAAGTGTGATCATCATCATTATTAGAGCATTGTCTCGGTGAGAAAATAAAAAAGGAAAATGGAGGCCAGAAAGATCGCACAAAAAATGATAGAAAAAGAGAGAAGGGGCAATGTTACTATCCTTTTCGACACTTGTGCTTCAAAGTAGAACCATGTTTCTTTTCATATAGAGAGTCTCCTGAGTTGTCACTTTCATATTACTAGTGGGAATTTTTCATTATAGAACTTGGCTTGTATATTTCGATGATGAGCTTCCTCAAATGCCCGAGGTCTTCATGAGCAAGCAAGTTGGATGCACACCCACTTAATTTTTAGTTTGAGCTTTCATACACTTATAGCTCTTAGTGCATCTGTTGCATGGCAATCCCTACTCCTCGCATTGATATCAATTGATGGGCATGTCCATAGCTCATTGATTAGCCGCATCAATGCGAGACTATCTTCCTTTTTGTCTTCCCCTTATTGATATCTCTTTCACCGCATTATATTCCACCCATGGTGCTATATCCATGGATCATGCTCATCTATTGTGTGGGGTTGAAAAATCTGAAGCGCGTTAGAAAGTATGAACTAATTGCTTGGCTTGTCATCAGGGTTGTACACGATTAATACTTTGTGTTAGGAAGATCGAGCATGACAAGTCTATATGATTTTATAGGGTTAGCGTTCATTGGCATTTTTATTTTGAAAGGCATGATTGTTTGTTGGCATACCTGAGTATTGATGTCTCTATATCAAACTATAGACTATTGCTTTGAATCATCTGTATCCTCATATTCCTATCGTGAAAGAGATTACATGATAAACATGTTAGGTATCATTCCACATCAAAAAAATCAGTTTTTGTCATTTACCTACTCGAGGACGAGCAGGAATTAAGCTTGGGGATGCTGATACGTCTCCAACATATCTATAATTTTTTTATTGTTCCATGCTATTATATTATCAATCTTGGAAGTTTTATACGCAAATTTATATCATTTTTTGGGACTAACCTATTAACTTACTTCCCTGTGGCAGTTCCTATTTTCTGCATGTTTTGGCTTTTCAGAAAATCTATATCAAACGAAGTCCAAACAGAAAAAAATCGTTGGATTAATATTTTCTGGACCACAAGGGACCCTCGAAGGTTCGGGAGAAGACCAGAAGAGCCACGAGGGAGTGACAAGCTCGTAGGGCGCACCCCTGAGCTTGTGAGCCCCTAGTGGCACCTCTTGACCCGATTCCACCTCTATAAGTTACCAAATATTCCAAAACAAACAGAGAGTCACCCGAAACACTTTTTCCGCTGCCGCAAGCTTCTATTCTTCTGTGATCCCATATGGAGGCCTTTTCCGGTACTCTGTCAGAAGGGGTATCGATCATGGAGGGCTTCTACATCATCCTTGTTGCCTTCTGATGATGCATCAGTAGTTTACCATAGACCAGTGGGTCCATAGCTAGTAGCTAGATGACTTCTTTAATCTTCAAAACAATGTTCTCCTCGGTGTCCTTGGTGTTCTATTCAATGTAATCTTCTTTGCGTGTGTTTGTTGGGATCCGATGAAATGTGGGTTTATGATCTGAATATTTATGGAGTCTTTTCTGAACTTTATTATTCATGATTGTTATAGCTTTGTATTTCTTTTTGATCTATCTGTTTGGTTTGGCCAACTAGATTGATTTATCTTCGGTGCGAGAGGTGCTTTGTGATGGGTTCAATCTTGCGGTGCTAGCTCTATCCCTGTAATAGAAAGGGACAAGGCACATATTTGTATTGTTGCCATCAACGGTAAAACGATGGGTTTATTCATATTGTTTGGATTTACTTTGTCTACATCATGTCATCTTGCTTAAGGTGTTACTCTGTTTTTCTTAACTTAATACCCTATATGCATGCTGGATAGCGGCTGATGGGTGGAGTAATAGCAGTAGATGCAGGCAGGAGTCAATCTACTTGTCTCGGATGTGATGCCTATATACATGATCATTGCCTTGAATATTGTCATAACTATGCGCTTTTCTATCAATTACACAACAGTAATTTATTCACCCACCGTATGATATGTGCTCGAGAGAGAAGTCTAGTGAAAACTATGGCCCCCGGGTCTACCTTTATCATATATGAAAACAAACGAATACCTTGCTACAATTTTACTTCTTTTATTTTATTTTATAATTTATATTTATCTAACACTACAAATTTTGATCCTTATAAATAACGGCCAAGGGGATTGACAACCCTCTTGATCGCATTGGGTGCAAGTATTTGCTTTTGTGTGTGCAGGTGTTGTTCATGAGGTTTTGCGTGATTTTTATGTTGGTTCGATAAACATTGGTTCTCATTGAGGAAAATACTTATCTCTACTGTACTTCATCTGCTCTCCTCTTCGGGGGAAATCTCAACACGGCTCCCAGGTAGCATGCTCTTTGATCAGATAAATTGTGAAAATGATGCCACTTGTAAAAATAATAAATATTTTATTATAGCAAGACCATCTATGCTTACTTTGTGAAAGAGGTGAAGAGATGATCAAATATCATATCATCTTCTTCTTCATAAAGCGAGGATTGATGCTCTTACTACAATAGAAGTAGTTTATTGCATATGGCCTCTCTGCTATTTAAGAAGATCAGTGAGCCTCTCGCACGGAGATGTGGGACTAAACCACATCATTCAGTATGGCGCTGTGGTCAATGGGGGGGGGGGGACGCTCAGGCGCAGGCGTCTCAGTCCATCAAGGCGACCGATGCAACACTTAGAAGGGAGAAGGCTTCTCAGATTCACAAGAAAAGTCCTACCTTAGAGCAACTCTAATATATCCCTCAAATTTTAGAGGAGGGTACGACTGTGTAGTCCTCATCGGCTTGCTCCGCCGCAATGCGCTCGCGGGCCTCCCGATCTTCCCTCCCCTACCATATGTTGGCCATCCGCGAGTCGATAGGTTCCAACCGTGACAGCCCCCCCGAGAGGAAAGTTGTGGCGGCCGTCGGCATCATGCAGGCGGGCCGACATGATGTTGGATTCACGCGCCTCCTGCTCGGTGAAATGGAAGGATCCGATCCATGTCTTCTTGTGGGTATGCCGTCGATTATCTCGGTCGTTCCCCAACTCTACCGCTGCACGCCGATGTATTGCTTCAGTGGCGGCAGTGGCGGTGAGAGGTCGAAGCTGGGAAGGCGGGCGTGGGAGCAATAAGCACCGTCGTGTCCATGAGCCTGGGACCGCTTGTGTCGGCGCAGATCTGCGTTAGGAATGTGCGGAGGGGAACGAGGACGGTGGAATCCGGCCATTGTCGATGGCGGCCGGCGCCGGAGAGGATAAGGGCGAGGTTGGGTGGCGGGGATTGGGGGAGTAGAGGCAGAGAGGCGAAGTCAATTTTTACTCCATGGTCACGAGGTCGAGCATATTTAAGAGTCACGCACAGCTCGGAGTAATTTTTTTTACCCCACTAATGATCTTGGGGTTTTGGCTAGGTGCCGAGAAGGAAAATCTAATTTCTGCCTACTCCTCTAACCCGTTATTGGGGATAGGTTAGAGTTGCTCTTAGTTGAGCTTTGAATCACTTTATTTAATTACATTTCAGACAAATGCTCCTATTTTCGAAACTCCTGTTAAAATTTCTACGCAGGAAATGATACCTTTGCCTTCCATGCACGAAACCCTCGCTCCGATCTAGAAGGAGATCGGCACATGCTATCTGGAAGAAAGACCGAGATCCAGGTTGTGGACGAAGGTACGAGGGGCATTCCATTGCGCGTTCACAAGAGCCATAAGTCAAGGTTTCTCCGGCATGAGCCATGAGCCACAACCGTGAAAAGGTCAGCACTCAGCAGGCCACCAACCCAAGCCCGGCCGTGTATGACCAGGTACGTACTAGTACTGGCTTTTGTTCAAACGCACATGACTATTCAACCCCAAAATCCAATATCCAAATGCCACTCCACCAACCCATCTCGCTAGGCGCTTGGTTGTATATAAAGCGCACGGCAGCACAAATACAACCGCAACCCAACCCCCGCTAAGCATCAGCACAATCTTGCCTTCTACATCCTCTGCTTTGCATTCCTCCTTCCAGTTCCAACCGCAATCAATGGCCGCCATGAAGATCACTCTCCTTGCCGTGGCCACAATCTCGGCAGTCTTACTGGGCACCGCGTCGGCGGCGACCTACGGTGTTGGCGAGCCGGGCGGTTCGTGGACCCTCAACACCGACTACAGCAACTGGGTGTCCAACAAGAAGTTCCACCCGGGTGATGAGATCATCTTCAAGTACTCCCCCGCGGCGCACGATGTGGTCGAGGTCAGCAAGGCTGGCTACGACTCCTGCAGCACCGCCAGCGCCATCAACACCTTCAAGTCCGGCAACGACGTCGTCCCCCTCAACGCCACCGGCACCCGCTACTTCATCTGCGGCATCACTGGCCACTGCAGCCCCACCGCCGCCGCCAGCATGAAGGTCGTGATCGACGTCGTCCCGAGTTCCTCCTCACCGTCGTCACCCATGCCGGCTGCCGGTCCGGACGCGAGCAACCCGCCGCCACCCTCCTCTACCGCATCCTCTGTCGGGGCCACAGCAGGATTTGGCCTTGTCGTCCTACTGGTCGCCAGTCTCATGGTTTAAAATGCATATTTCAGCCAGCTGCATGCCGCACGCACATATGAGCTTACATATTGTTTGACTGGTTATTACTGGGGAATACATACATGTATTATTGCTTAGAGCGAAGATGTGAGAACTACTTTGTAAGTTTGTATCTCTCACGTTTGTATGTAATCTACTGGCCTTTAGGCATTTCATATTGATTTTTGAGGTAAAATTAGTAAAGGTGCGTCAGTGCATGCCTAGCCAGAGCAAAGTTTTTTTGACGGGAAGGCCTTCATGACTAGCTTTATTAACTCAAATTAAACTTACATCATCTGCTAACAAAGGAATAATAAAGCTAGGAGGTGTATCCGACCACAAAGTTGGTGGATTACTCCTCCCAAACCTAGCTAGCTTTGACTCCCTGTTACAATGTTCAACAAGTACCTTCCCGAAATTAAAAAGTAGACTTCGACATTCATTAAGTATTGGTGCTGCAATCATTGAGTAACCCTCGTTCAAATTCAACGCCTCTACCACGGTCACATTATGAGTTTGGACAATTATGTTGGCACACCCAAGGCTCTGAATGAGCATTAGCCCTTGACGCGACGATTCTGATTAGACCGAGACCACATCGGCTACATGCTCCATGCAAGCAGTTGCTGCAGCGACAAAACCTCCCAAGTGATCACGTACCACAACTCCACATGAAGCAGAGTTTTCCTCATCAGAAAAGGATGCATCCACGTTGTTTTACTCTTAATCGTCCTGAAACTGAAAGCGAGGTACGCATTCGAAAGCAAGAAGCCAGACTTTTAACACTGACACTTGCGACAGGGACAGAAAAAAATTCAATAATATCGATTTGTCATGAATTTTCTTAAGCCTCTCATATTATGTTAGTACATCCGTCCGGAATAAACAATCGCTGAAATGAGTGTTCAAGATTGTCAATCCTTCGTGTGCGAGCAAGAGAGTAAATTCGATGGGCGACTCCGCTGGCGCTTTCGCGGGCACCTCCGCCGCCTCTGCCTCCGCGCCGCCGGCGCCCCTCCCCGCCCCCTCCCCGCCGGCCTCTCCAGCCGCGGCCCCGCCGCCGCCCTCCGCGCCGGTCTCCCCGGCGGCTCCCTTCCGGTGGGCTGACTGCGCGGAGGACGCGCCGTTCCCCCTCCCCCCTCTCCCCCGGCTCCCTCCACCCCC